GCAATGCGGCATGAATTGGATGACTTAATAGTTTTCTACAGTTTAGTACTAACATGCATGTGTGGTGAACTAACTACCTTGGGAAGCAACAAATATGCCCCCAATAACGATGCATATGTGAAAAAAATTCTAAAACTTTGCATAAGCAACTTAATTAAGTAGAAAAACCTAATCGATAGCCTACTACTTATACTTCTTACTTTCACTTTGATTTATACTTTGACTTTCGATACCTCTCCCCTAGTGTACTCGAGAGCTTGAAGGGGAAGACACACTAGAAGACTTCCACACCATGACTTCCTTCCTTGGCTGAATGCCTGGCCTTCAAGAAACTCGAAAAACTATAATAACTCACTTCACTACGATAACTATCTTTCGAACAGGACTACTACTTAAAGGCTAAAAAGACCTACCACGACTGGCTCACTTGCTTGAAGGACTAATGAAAACACGTCGAACTAGCTAAAAGGACGTAAGCTAACAGCAGAACTCAAACAAAAAGGATGCTGACTCCGATATAGATATTGAGGATTTTCTACAAGCCGCCGCCTCACCCCGCTCGCTTACTTCCCACATGCTTGCTTAACTCACTATCTTTTGGGGTAATAAACTGTATAGATAGGAAAGAGATAAATGAAAGAAAAATAAGTTAGAAATGAATTGATAGAGTCAGATAATGTCACTAGCTTCAATGAAAGGACTAACGAGAACTTTGAAAGTTCTTCCTATCAGCATTAGTCAACTTTCGAGTCCTTCAAGCGAGTGCCGCAGGGAAAGGAAGAGTATTTCATCATGGCCATTTATTAGGACTACTTGGATAAGTTAGGACAGTTTCTCTAAGGCCAACTGTTGAGTTAGTCGGTTCATAGGTTGTCGTAAAATATGGGTGTAGGAAGCCTGGACTCTGATTACTGATTATGAAAGTGAGGACTCTTTTTCTCTCTCCCCATTAACGGAAAACTATCTTAACCTCTTTCAGCAAGTTCGTTATCTACAAGTAAGTTAGAGAATTCCTGTTGTCAAGGTAGTTATCTTATACAAGACTTTTCTATAAGGCCTGCAAGCAGGTTCAGGTGGAAGCAGGAAAGTAACACCACCTGGTTTTAGACCGGGTGTAACTCTTTCTCTTTTGCCCTTTATGTCAGCCTGTTCCCTAAGTAGGATAAGTTCATTGTGTTATTACAGGTAGTATTGCTCTCAAATCTAGGAAGGAAAGGTAAGGAGCAAGCTTATTTACTAAGATCCTAGCGAGTGGAATACTTTGAACGAGCAGGGGAGTGAGCAGAGTACTTTACGCAAGTAGTGGTTTACCAGAAACTCGTATAAGAGCTAGTCATATAGTCCTTGAAGCATTATTCCTTTTATTGGTAGGGCTGTTAGCAAGGAGTTTGAAGCTTGAGTAATTTCAGCTTTCCTGTTTTAGCTAGGAATGAAGTTGGTTCAGAGGTGTCAAGTAGATAGGTTAGATCTTCTCTTCCTTCTCATACTGTGAGAAATATCTCTACTACACTTTCCACTTTATGTTGATCAGTTTGAGCATGAGCAGCTCGTTCAGGAGCAGCCGCCCGTGGAACTCTTGTTTTGAGGAAGCAATTAACATTGTCTTTTTCCATTCTCAATAAATGAGGAAGGAGGGGTGAGGTCCTCACTTGCGAGTGAGGCAAGGCTTTCTTTTATAATACATCCTACCCGATTTTGGTTGACGATTTCGTTCTATTCCAATTATTCACTTGTTTTTCTTGTCACTATGGGGAGACCGGATGAGAGAGAGACCTATTTTCCATTTCCAGACAGACCCCGAGCCGAGGTTGGAACAATTCTTTATTTTCTTGTTGGTTCCTTCTTTATTATTTATTCCAAGTTTTTCTCTTCCATTCGGTTCATTAGCTTTAGGAAAAATAGAAGCTGCGGAAATGCTCGCTTCTAAAAGGCTTAAAGGCTCTGATCAAGGCAATGAACATTTTGCACTTGGAAACTAATAATAAACGAATTCAAATCATAGTTCAATACAGACTTTTTCTCTTTTAAGAAGGGTGAAACTTTCCTTCCAATACTTGTGCTCTCTACCCATCTCTACTGAACAAACCCACTACACATCGAGTGGCAGGGTATGTCGATAAATTGCTATAGAAAGTGGGGCTAGATCAAGAGTTCTGACCTTTTCGTGGGTTGGGTGATCTTCAAACTCTTGTTTTTCTAGCGAAAGAACGCCCTTCTAAGCGATGATCTCCTACAAGCGAGTATAGTAAGGTTGACTTCAATTGAGACAGAAATGTCACTGGTCAGCTCCTTAGCGTGACAATTAACACCACTTTCTTATTACCTAAGAGATTAGATAAGGGAAGAAGGCAGGCCAAAGCTTATAGATTCGGAGATCGTACTTCTAACGCTTTATCTAAGTCAGTCCTACGACCCCTTCCGGCTGAGACACGAATCCTAGCCTATCTGAGTCGCAGAATGAAGGGCTCTTCAAAAGGCGCCACCCAAGTCTCCTTTGATACTTCAGAGTCAGGATTTTTTTTCCAAGGAAGGCGGATTTTCTGCGTTCCGCAGGATGAACAGGGTGTACAGAAGATCGATGTGCCATCTTTCTAACCACCTTCATTTGTTGTATGATCAGTAGGGAAGGGAGCCTTTGATAAAGGGACCCCCAACCAAGAAATCTACGGTCTCAGAGCGACAGTCAAGCTCGTATCGTGGAACTAGAACATTTCTTTGATTGATAGGACAGATAGGAAGCAGGCAAGCAAACCAAGTTATAGGTTTGGAAGTTAGAACTCGGAAAGGTTGTCCTGTGACTACCTTTGAAGTCTTTGGGTAGGACATCAGGCTAAGGTCTTATGATGAGCCACGCGCATATGAGGTTTACTGCAGCCCTAAAGCTCTGTCCCCTATCCTACCACTAGATCTCCTATGCCGGAACATGAACAGAGAAAGTTGTGAGTGTAGTCTTAGGAACGAATCAGGGGTTGCTCTCGCAAAAAGATTGTACTAAAGAAAGCTAGAAAGCTCAATTCCAAGCTTTAAACCTCTGGTCCACGGGTCGGTGAACGAATGGGTTTTGGGAAATAGAGAACATGGACTCGAATGAACAAAGGTCGCACCGGAATGAATAGCCCACTTTTTCGGGCAAGAATGAATGGGACTGATCAACTCGACTTACCGAGCGACCTCCACTCTTCGACTTGAGTTTTCGCTTCTGCTTTTCTCTTGTTTTGATTTATTAGCTTTCTAGGGAAAGAAGAGGGTCTGAAATACAACTATGTCTACGAGTGCCGCGAATGAACCTTCGGTTCTTCCCAAGAACAAGGAGATATGAACTAAATAACTCGTATCAGGCTACGGGAATAGTGAACCAGAAGAAGGAACTAGTGAGGCTTTCGTTGGTCAAACAATATGCCCTCCTCACTTGAGGAGAGTGAAGGTCATGACTTATTGAAGCAGAATGTCAATTGGCCAAGAGAAGGGGAAATCCTTTCATCGGTAACTATTGAATTGCCTATCTAACAGTGGAGCAAAGCGGAACGTTGAACAGGAAACTCGTGTCGTCAGTTATCCAATTTCCCACTTTTCTGTTTCGACAAAGAAAATGTTTATGTATCGGTAATAGGATTCCCACTATGATTTGCAGAAAAAGATAGATTCTATAATAATCCATAAATAATATATAGAATCAGGCTCCGTAATCAAGTGCTCGCTGTGAGAAGAAGATCTACAGGCATGTACCCATTTTTCCCTGCAAAATAAGTTTGAACCCGAGTGAGTATGGACCATACGCTCATCTTTCTTCTCAATCTACACCTCGTTCCGCGAGAGACCTATCCTCGTTTCGAAATAAAGGACTGTAGTGAGGATCGATCCCGGATAAGCGAGTCAGTGTAGGGACAGAGGCTGATAATTCGAAAGGTGATTTCTAACTACAAGATGACTTTATTTGAAAATTGAATCCAAATATCAACAAAAAGATGAATGGAAAGTCTTGTCGATATGAATTGATCTTCAACCCAATGACAATGCTTCGATTTCGATCTTTACTTCTTTCTGGGATGCCTGAGTTTGTGTTCGCATTTCATCAAAGGAAAAGTGGGCTGTACCCACATGAAGAAAAGAGTTGCTCATGTAAAAGCAATATCTTCTATTTGACTTATCTAGCCGTGTCTTGTCTTGCACATACTCGGCTTGGTGAATGGTTCATCTTCGATTGGCATGGTCCTTTGGATGTAAGTGATCTCGTTTGCTGGCCGGGCCCTTCCATGAGTTTAGATCTCTATGTATGAATCTCTTATGAAATCCCATACTTTTTGTCATTTCAGAACGATCAGCATACTGTGTGACTTCTGCGTGACAGTTCTTGCATTTCGTTTGTTGCTTTGCATGAACATTTAGATATTGGAAAGAAAACTCCCTGAATTAGGAATTTCATAGATAGAGAAGGACGGGCAAAAGAGAGAGACTGACTAACTACCCAGATCAATGCTGATTGACGACTGAATAAATAGCCGGAAGCAACAACTGCACGAGAGAGAAAGAGTGGATCCAACTAAGGAAATGCAGTACCTGTTCTGTCGGAGCTAATCATGCAAAGCTAGCGTAGCGCCAGCCGTCGAAGTGAAAGAATTCGAAAGAACGCAGAAGTAAGGAAATGAGACGACTCTTTCTTGAACAATTTCATAAGCAGATCTTCCCCTCCACACCAATCATGAGTTTTTTTATTCCTCTCGTATATCGTCGTCACACCCTTAATGATAGGTTTTGAAAAAGATTTTTCATGTCATTGCCATTTAGGTTCAATTTGGATCCCTCTGTTGTTTCCCTTTCCTCCCGAACCTTTTCCTCGAAATGATAAAGAATCTGGTACACTCGAATTGTATTATTTAAGTGCTTATTGCTTGCCAAAAATCCTATTTCTACAATTGGTAGGTCACCGGGTTATTCAAATAAGTCATGTTTTCTGTGCTTTTCCCATGTTACAACTTCCGTACCAATTTGATTGATCCGGAATGGATCGGTTAAACATTCTATTAGGGAGCCCGGTCTTGACTCTTCTGTGTGGTATTCATTCTCGTTCGGCTCTTGGAATCACATCCAGCAGTGGTTGGAACAGCTCGCAAAATCCAACGACTTCACCTACTTTATTGCCCCCAACCGTTTCCCGTACCTCTATAGAAAAAGAAGGGTTTCATGTGCTTTCATCGATTGGGTATTCCTCTCCTTTTGTATCTCTTTATCCAATTTTGGTCTCGATTAGTTCACACGATTGAATGGCCAAGTCATGGAAAAGCCGTTATTCGATTGTTTTAAAAGAATGTTGAGCCGGGCCCGGGTATGTAAGTTCAGCGATGTACAAACAAGGGTTTATTTTACTTCCGCACCTAGGTTGGGGGTTTCTATTTAGGAAGAATAAGGAAGAGGAATAGAATCTCATTCATGTGTTCATGCTAACAGAAGAGCAGATCCAATACACATAAGGCATCGGTTGTTCTTAACAGCAATGGCTATTCATTTAAGTCTTCGGGTAGCACCACCAGATCTTCAACAAGGTGGAAATTCTTGTATTTCGTATGTACATGTTCCTGCGGCTCGGATGAGTATAGTTATTTATATCATGACAGCTATAAACAGTTTCTTGTTTCCATTAACAAAACATCCCCTTTTTCTTCGCTCTTCCGGAACCGGTATAGAAATTGGTGCCTTTTCTACTTTGTTTACATTAGTGACTGGGGGGTTTCAGGGAAGGCCTATGTGGGGTACCTTTCGGGTGTGGGATGCTCGTTTAACTTCTGTATTCATCATGTTCCTTATTTACCTGGGAGCACTGCATTTTCAAAAGCTTCCTGTCGAACTGGCTCCTATTTCAATCTGTGCTGGACCGATCGATATACCAATAATAAAGTCTCTAGTCAACTGGTGGAATACATTGCATCAACCTGGGAGCATTAGCCGATCTGGTACATCAATACATGTTCCTATGCCCATTCCAATCTTGTCTAATTTTGCTAACTTCTCCTTCTCTACCCGTATCTTGTTCGTTCTGGAAACACGTCTTCATATTCGATATTTTCCCGAATCTCCCTTAACGGAAGAAATAGAAGCTCGAGAAGGAATACCACTAAAAACCTAGTTCGCTCTCAAATAAAAACCTAGTTCACTCGCTCAAGCATCCATGGCTGAATGGTGAAAGCGCCCACCAACCTAGAAAGGCAAAATGGGTCAAAAATTAGGTTTGATTCCTGCCGGATGCACTGCCTCTTAAAGACAGAAATAGAGGAGGGAAAGAAGGTAGTATAGGGAACTTGCTTTTGGATTCTTATCGAAAGTGAATCCCTCTAACACTTTTGTTAGTGTTTTATGAGAAAATCTTTTATATACACAACAAGTGTGAAAATCCTTAGTCACTAGGCAAGAAAGCTTGATGGGAACAAAAAGGATACAATTAGTTCAAAATCAAAAAAATGTACAATTTCAAAGGAAAGAAGGAATGGCAAGTTTCCCTCCATTGAACATCAATCAATCTAGAAATAGGTAAAGGAAGGCGTATCACAGGGGTATTTTTCTTTTTTCTATTCACTTCCGTGGGGTTCTAAATTGAAAACATGAACACAAACGAAATCGTATTGAAATTACATAAAAAAGAAAAGGGAGGAGTAGCTCTTGGTTTAAAGAAAAGGGAGGAGATGGATCGAATTCAGTCTTTTTCCTTTCTTTGATGATCTTCAACACATCTATTTGAATTCCCTGCGAGTGAAGGTTTTCTCATATGGAGAAAAACCTCTTGAGTGCTATCTGATCTTATTTTTGTATTTCAAATATGGGACCTGCCTTTTTAATGGGACATCCCGGCAACATGCCCACTCATGCATGTGGCCAAGTCCTCGACCAATCCTCAGAGTGAAGGGATGAACGAATTCTCAAGGTCTGGTTCATTGAGGTCAGCATCACATGAAACCTTTAGCACTTCCATTCAATATTGGATGGAGTATGGCTGGAAGGTCAGCCTAACTAGTCTTGTCAATCGGCCCTGACTCGTCTTCTCCTTGGTACCTACCGCTATTGAACTTCAGTATCTATATACCTAAAACAAGACAGACCTTCATGAAGACCTTCTATTTTGGAATAAGATCGAACATTTCCACATTGAGGTGAAATTACATATGAGGAAAATAATCTTGGACTACGAAAGCTGCCCTTGTGTGGTAGAACCAGGTCTTCCACCGGGTGGTCAGCCAAGTACTGAAGCCCCTATCTTGATATAGAATAGAAGTGAGTTCACACTTAAAATAGAAGAAGCCGTATGATTTTTTAGCCCTACTATCAATCACTTCGGTAAAGGGATCGAAAGATTATGGTCTGAAATAGAGATTTGAGAGTCCCTCGTGTGAGTATGTGCTGAAGAGCAAGGAGCGAAAGTGCGTTCATCTTTCTTTCTGCTAGTTGTTTCCTGCTAATAGTGATTAGTGAGTGCCCCATACATAGCCAATGTCCGCCCGTGTTCACATCCAGTCTTCTCTATACACTAGTGCAGCTTCCAGCTCTATGCTATGTATGGTAGTCATTTGACTCAGGAATCCCTGATAAAAGCTTTTAGTCCGTGCCTGGCAGTTTCAGCCATGGTCCAGTCCAGCAGCCTCTTTTCGATCCAAGAGTCGCATGAGAAGAAAGCTTCCAGTTAGCTTCAGTTAGTGTTAGTTACATAGAACGGGAACCTCATAACTATTCCAAGCCCGATCTTGGTTCCAATGCTGCAGAGGAAGGTTATGGGTAAAAAGAAGGTCTTTATCCTAGTGCTGCACAGACCGGTGTTGCTGATCGAACTCATTTTCTTTCGAGGAGATCGAAAATCTCTGAATTTCTGCGAAACGAATTTACATATTTATTGCGAGGGGCTTTGTAAAGCAAAAGGATGAAGACTGATTTAGATCCTTTGAAAGCGCAGGAAGTATGCCTTTTGAGCTTTTTCTCCACCCACCTCTGAGCATCCTTTTGGAATGGTCCTAGGAAAGACTACATACGAGAAATCATTCTCACAGCTAAATTTCCTTCTTCTGAGAAAATAAATGTAGTATTTAGTCCAACCAATCATTGGTGAATTTATGTCTTTCGTGAAAAGTGGAGTATTTGTGCCCAAGATCTTTCTATTCCCTTTAGTAGGTGCACACATCTTGTATGGTAAATATACCTTTGTGCCCTATAAGGTAAGATTGATTGACGGAGTCAAGAGATGGAGATCTTGGTTTAGCAGCGGCTGCCTGTCCTTTTCTTTCGTGAAAGGTATGATCTAGAGTGTGATTCTGATCCCGTGATTGGGTGCTTGGCGTAGAATGAGTGGAGCATACTAGGAATGCCGAATGCTCGCTCAGTGAGGGAGATCTGTTGGAGAAGAGTGGGACTAGAAAGAGGGAATACCCATGTCAGGCCATGTAAGGCCAATAGTTGAGGTACCTAGATCCAGACAAAACTCCAATCATGTAAGAATCTACCTTGAAGCAAGGTTTCTACTTGTTAATGCGTTCCACCCTATTGATGACAGCTAATGTTACTAAAAGCTTAGATGACGAAAGATCTTCTGAGCGAAGGCTTTTTGGCTTTGGTTGTTGGTGTGGATTATCTTGTTAAGCTCTGCAGAGATGGTGAGCGTGAAGAAAGGACACTACCATCAAAGAAAGACAGCTCTCAAATGGATTTGCTGGTCTATGATGACCAAGTAGAAGCATCCATTCCACATAGGTGATTTTTATAGAAGCATAGGTGCAAGCTCTTCTCAAAAGAATTTCGTTTATAGGATTCAGTCATCCATTTGTTTTGTTTTGAATTGACATAGAGAAATCTTTCTCGCATTCCCTTAATTCAGGAATAGATGGCGAAGGCTACTTGTTCCTTGTATATATATATATATATATATATATATATATATATATATATATATATATATATATATATATATATATAGGGAAAATCCATCCTACCACCCGGTGGTAGTTACCCCACATGTCTCATATACTAGCATGTGGTACTATATATACTATTTTATTATTTAAAATATGTTCATATACTATATCTAAGATATTTCAAAACAAGTTACATGAAAAAATTGCATATGAGCCCATAGTTTTTGTTATATTTGTGAAATATGTACATATTTATACATAAAAAGAGCATACTCAAAAAATGGTACATACTACCTAAAAATTTGTATATATACTACCTAATCATTGTTATATACTACATACTACACGTACATACTCTCGGTTTCGACAGATACTGCATACAACATACAAAACGCAAGTGGTGGTAACTACCACTGCTTGTAGGAAACATTTGTCCTATATATATATATAAAGGAAAGGGGTTATTTTTCCTTTACGGTAATAAGAGTTGATTCCCTTGCTTGTAGTTTTGGATCAATTCCGTGTATTTCACATATTTAAGAGTGGTTAGGAGAGAGAATCAATGTTTATGGGAAGAGGGAAAGAAAGATCAGCTATCACAATGATAACTATGAAAAGTCCCCCCCCCCATTGATAAAAACCAGAATCAGATGATAGATCAAGTCTTACCGAAATTGGATTTCCTTTTCGTGCCATATGTCACTTAGACTTTACTTTTTTTCCCTCTGCCCTTTCAAAAGTGGTTACTCCTGATCCGAAGCACCCCTTTTCCATTCATAGAGAGATCCAATCGTCAAAATCAATAAAAAGGCCATCATCGACCAAGAGAACGAGATATTGACTTTTTTTACATATCTACCTACATTCTCACATTTCTTTTTTGATCTCATGACTTTTTATGCGATTGGAAAATGAATGAGATCAGAAAGCCATCATTGGGGCAAACAATGCAATAGCTTCGGTGCGAGCAAAGCCCAAAATGGAATAACCAAATGATTGTTTAGCCAATGATGGATTTCATGCCACGGAATGAATCAAAGAACTGAGGACGTTTCCAATACCGACAGCAGCTCCGGCTAAAGAAATTGTAGCAGCTCCAACACCTATTTATTTAGCACCTTCTAACATCTCGAGTGGAGAAAACACTTTTCTTCTCACGTTTTTCCTTCGCTGTTCTTTCTTGGATTTCTTGTTGATGATTCGAAGTACTTGGGCCTGCACCTCCATAATTTTCAAATATTGGGTTATGCCGACCACTAATTTGATACATATTATCACAATTTGCAAGGCTTGTCACATATTCAAGAAAATTAGCTGTGGATTGAAAATCATCAGGTATAGGTAATCATCAGGTATAGGTATAGGTAGGGGGTCCG